TGCATGTATATTAAAATAGCAAACATTTATTGAGTCCTTTCAATAGCCCACACACTACTTTGAGTACTAGCATCAAATTAATATCTATTTTAATTATTATTCTAATACAAATCTAAGATTAAGAAATGTCGAAAAGATGCTCAACATTTTCTGTCTCACTTTCTACTAAATTTTTCCAAAACAGAGTATCTTACTTCTTTTCTGAGCCTTTTGAAGAATCTAGCATGGGATTCCCACATAGTGGGCACATAGTAAACCTGTAAGAACTGAAATTAAAACTATCTTGCAAGTCAGCACTCTTCTTTCAAAAAAGTCATTTTTAATCAACTATAGACATGGTCCAACTTGTTTGTGTTCAGTGGAAACTAACCTTCCCAAATTACTAGTAGCCAAGTGAAGACAGCTTCCAGGCCTCATGATGTTCAGTACACTGTTTCTTTAGTCTTGTCCTTTTAAAGTGCATTCATGCTTGAATGCATAAGAAAAGCAAATTACCCTCATGGTAGAACTGGCATGTCTTTTCTAAATGAAAAAGAAGTTGGTATGAATTTGGACCAGTTCTTTGGTTTCTTTAACTCTATTTAGGTCTTCTTCTTAGTGACAGCATTTTTTGGAACTGGAAATATAGCTTCTATTAACAGGTAATTTAAAATGAAAACAATATATATGTACTGTAAGTATCTTGTTATTTATACTGAATGATGTATTTTGGAAGTTGGTATGTATTATCACATATAGGTTTACTTTATTTATTTTAATAGCTTCATGATATTCCTTGATATATATATATTCCTATATATATTTCTTGATGTATGCTTGTGTGAGAGTAAGATTTGTGTAAGAGTAAATTTCAGAGAATTAAGCATCCTTTTAGCAGAACCATCTTTTAAAGTTACAGTATGAATTCTAAAATTCTTTTTCTTTATGTTATGGTTTCCTAGCTTTGATCTTGCCTCCGTCTACTGCTTTCTGACTGTGTTTAGTCCTTTTATGATGGGAGCCTTGATGATGTGGAAGGTTAGTTTTCTTATTTGTTGTTTGTATTTGATAGATTAAGATTATGAATTAATTGTGATTTAAGATTATGTAACATATGACAGTAAGACTAAAGCCATTGTGACAAAGTTAAATGGCAATGGAAAGAAAACATCTTTCCAGACATTGTCACCACTGCTAATCTGGAAGCAGAATCCTCTTGCACTTTCTTACAAATACAGTTAATCTTTTTGCCTTACTCTTGAGACTGACTTCAAAAAATTAAGGATTTCATGTTCTAGAAAGTTCTATCAGAGATAATTAAAGCCTGTACAGTACCTGTGATCAAAACTGCAGTGCTGCTAAAGATCCTAAAGCTCCCTCAACCCATTGTCCCCACCCACAAAACTGCCAACATATTATAATCCATGTACCTAGAATTGTTCTACTCCTTTGACAGATATGTCATTGAGTGCTCCATTCATTAGTATGCCAGGCACTAGCTAAGAGCTAACAATACAAAAATAATGACATATTATTAGCTTTCTGGGGATATCAATTCTTTAGAATGAGTAATTCACATTCTACCTTTCTTCTCTAAGGTCATTATACTTATGTTGTTCCCTTTACCACATTTTCTCTACTACAATATCTGGCATATTTTATGCAGTTATTATATAGTTATTTAAATAGAGTAAGGCTAGGCTAAAATCTGATTACCTTCTTTACAGATCATGAAAGAAATATTAAAAATATGTATTTTCTTATAATAGTTTTGTTATTGCACTAATACTGCTATTTTTTGTTTCAGTACTAATACAAATATGTATTGAGGAAGTTTTAAAAAGATGTTGGATGAGGATGTAGCTCATTGTTATAGTGTTTGCCTAGCATATGCAAGGCCCTGGGTTCAATCCCCAGTACCACAAAAACAAACAGACAAAACAAAAACAAAAGATATGTAGTATTTTGTTAAGTCCCATTCTTTATCAAATTATTTTAAAATATTACTCTTAGGGGCTGGGGATTTAGCTCAGCGGCAAAAGCACCTGCCTGGCAAGCGCAAGGTCGTGAGTTCGGTTCCCGGTACTGGAGAAAAACCAAAATAAAATAAAATAAAATAAAATAAAATAAAATAAAATAAAATATTACTCTTTCCTTAATTTTAATTCACATTTCAAAAAATGGTGATTGTTTTGTCTACTAAAGTTTGCAAATCTAGCTAGAAATAAGGAATAAAGAAAAAAAACCTCAACTTATAGTACTAGATCTTTAATCTTCAGCATAATTCATGTAGCTTTAACAACATAATACACTTAACTTTGCTGACTGTTAGTCAGTGAGGACCTTTTAAAAAATGAAAAACAATGATAAAGCAACGATACATGTTTATAGTGTTGTAATATACATATCAGATGAGTTCAGAGATTTTTGAATCAAGTAACAGGCCCTTTAATTTATTTGATTTCGATGTTCATTCTGTGTCTTTAAACACTCTTAGAGTAATTTAAACATTGTCATGAACTGTTAAGATGAGCCAAATAAAAAATAAATTGTAATAAGTTTTTCTTTAGAATATGTGTTAGTGTTTGTTATCTTTTGTGCTGTATATGTTAATGCAGCTTTTTAAATATTTCATCATTATGTTATGCCATTAGTGTTATGCATTTCAGTGTTTGTTCTTCATTAGTATGTAGAGAAGGTAATGGAGAAGTTGAAAATATTTTTATAAGCAGAAATAATATTTGTTTCAAAGCTGAATTCAGGGGCAGATGTCTATAATCCCAGCTACTCACGAGGCAGAGAAAGGAGGATCACAGGGTAGAGGCCAACGTGGGCTACTTAGAAGACTTTAACTCAAAATGAAATGAAAAGGACTGGGGACAGGCAGGGGTGTGATTCAGTGGTAGAGTACCTTGCGGTTCAATCTTTAATAATACTCCCCATCTCCCCCCAAAATAAATAGTACTTGTTTCAAATGCTTGTTACCAATGACATCATTTGTTATTCTTTTAAACAGATTTTAATTCCTTTTGTTCTTGTGATGTGTGCTTTTGAAGCAGTTCAGTTAACTACACAGTTATCATCAAAAAGGTAAGATGAATGTTTAAGAAGCATTGGATCTTCCCATAAATGAGAGTAAACATTTGAAAATATTTCATGTAATTGAGATTAAGACCCTGTAGCATAGATTGTTTATTATAAAAATGAGAAAAATTTACCATTTTAGTCAGGGTTCAGTTGTCATTAGAAAAAATAGTTGGTTCGGACCTCTAGCAGACAAATATGCTCTCAGTCAGTAATAAAATATTATTAGGATATTTTTCAAGCTAGTGAAGAGGCTCTCCAGCAAATAGTAAAACATAAATGTTAAATATTGTAATTACTTGTTTGTTACAAATATTACCGTGCATATGTAAAACAAAGGATATCATTCTAATTTCTTTTGGCTTGTTTTGATAGATTTGTTAACATTATACAGGGCATAAAATTAACTTTTTACATTGCTTAAAATTAACTTTTCTAAATATCAATGATTGACACAGTTACTCAGTCTTGATTTCTACACATTTGCAAGAAAGTCTTCTTTCTGAGTTTTGAGGAATTTCTGGACTAGTGAAGTCTTAAGCAATCAAGATTGATGGAAGAAGGGCCCAGGCCCGCGATATACCTCAGCAGCACAAGTGCTTGCCTGGCAAGTGTAAGGTCCTGAATTTGATTCCTTGTACAACAACAAAAAAAAAGATTGATGGAAGAAAAGCTGTCAACTCATGTATTTGTATTTTTTAACCAGTAAAATTGCCTCATCAGCACAAGGAGTCTCTGAAAAACACTTGATATAAATGTGAAGCTTCTTAGCAGTTTTGTTATTCTTGGATCAAGCTGGCATATTCAGAGAAATAACTAATATAACATAAATTTGCATATTGTTTTTGATGAACTTAAGCTACAACTGGATTTAACATACTATTATACATATTCCATAAGTTTAATTGGTTTTTTCCTACCATTTAAGAATAGTAAAAATCTTGTTTATAGTTTGAAATGAGATAAGTATTCTTTGGCAGAATATTTACATGAATTTAATATTTGCGAGCATTTATGCCTTTAAATTTCACATAAAAACAGTTATTTAGATGTGAGAAAAACTACTGAATGACATGTACTTTTCTTGCATCTCTGTTAGTGAGTAAACTTTTTAGAACGGATTTTGATTAACTTTTGAATATGGACTGGGGATATGTGGAATGAGAAGTAGAAGGGTTGTCCAAGTGTATATATGTGTATGTACATATATTGGTGTGTCTCCGTATGTTTGTGTAGTAATTCTATCTTGAGACTAAGTGCAATGAAAAAGAAATACAAAGGGAGAGAACTGAGTCAAAAGTAGCTAAACTGTGGGTTTATAAAAGTCTTCTCTTTTGATCTTTAAATGATCTTTCAACCTTACTGGACATTAACATTTCCCCCTTAATATTATAGACTCTCAGATTTAATATGTCACACACTGAACCCAGAGTCTTGGCTACTTTTCTTGTTGCTGAGACATAATACCTGACACCCAGAGTTAAAGGAAGAAAGATTTATTTGGGCTCTCAGAGGTTTTAGTACATAGTCAGTTGGCTCCAAGGCAGGGTGCATGGCAGAGGGGCATCACAGAGGAAAAACAGTCTATGGCAGGTCAGGCAAGAGGCAGTAAACAGCAAGCAGCAGCAGCAAACCTCTCTTTCCCTTTTATTCCATCTACGCTGCAAGCCTTTTGGGTTGTGCCACCACACCCAGTGGAACATCCCATTACCCACATCCAGAACAATGCTAAACCAATCAATGGAGAAATCCAATTACCACAACTTTATTTTTTTTTAATTTTCAGAATTTAGCATAGTGCCATTAAAAAATTACTGTGCTTTATTTTTGTACTAAATTTGATGAATTTACATATTATAGTAATGTGTGTTACTATCAACCATTGGAAACAAACAAGATATATTTCTTATATATATATATATATATATATATATATATATA